TTATTATTATTATCAATTTTGAAAACAGTTGAGCTGCTCCATATTTTTAAGGAAACCATGATACATTTTTTTCTGTATTACTTGATGAATAGAAAGATCAAAAGAACAGCATTTATTTAATATAGAAATCTTTTGTAGGATTATGACATTAATTGATGGACTGGAGTGGTGTGGATTATTGTGATGTTTTTATCAGCTGTTTGGACTCTCATTATGACGGCACCCATTCACTGCAGAGGATCCATTGCTGAGCAGGTGATGCAATAATAAATTTCTCCAAATCTAATGAAGAAACAAATTCATTTACATCTTAGATGACCTGAGGGTACATTTTCAGCAGATTTTCATTTTGGATAAACTCCTTCTGGCCTGCATGTCTGGCGTTCTGAACGCTACAGTAGTATTTCATAGTACATCAATCTATTTTTATGTCACAAATCAAATAAACATCTCATGATATTACTTCTTTGAATCATAGAGAACATATAACTAAATTATCTTTAAAATGTAGCCTTCTTCCTTTGAATATTACTTTAATATCGTAAGTTTTGCTGTTTCAAAGCATACTTCAACAAGTTTTGGCTATATCTGTGAGGGCTCTTATTTGATTAAGTTCTTTAGGCTAATGATTAACCAGTGCTGAAGGTCATATTGGGGCATGTGAAAATAGAGGGTGCTGGGATTGTGGGACCAAAGATTAAACTCAAGTCACAAGAACCGTGAGAGGCTCTGCCAGCCACTTTATTTCTCTTTCTCATTCTTGCTCTCGGATTGCGGGGACTTTTTTGTAGGACATCAGTCTAATGAAGTTATTAAGAGATTTGAGCGTCACCTGTCATGAGGGAAATTATCATTTAGCTCTAAATTTCATACACATGACCAGCACACTGTTACGTTTTGGCAGTGCCCTGAAAGAGTGTGTCCAATTTGGTTACTTTGAGAAGATTGTTTTACAGTATGCAGTACAGGCAGGATTAGAGGAGGTTATTTTAGGTTTTGGCATTTGTAGAGCAGAAACATACACAATGATTATGACGCAATGAGTCATTTACTCTTTGTAAAGAGTAAACAGATTTTATTGTCATTGTACTGCTGAGCAAAACAAATTTTGTTTGGTATCCCCCATTCTCAAACATTCACATAAAACAACATAATAAATATCAATATAAAAATGTCAATGTAGATTAAAAGTTTAAAAAGACATAAAACAGTACAGTAAAAAAAGCATCAGCAACAGACTGTTTAAAGTGTGCAGTTCAATAACAAATATAATTTATATATGGTAACCAATCACAGGGTTTCCGCGGGTCCTTAGAAAGACTTAAATTTAGATGTAAATTCAATTTAAGTTTAAAATAGCACTGCATAGCCTTCACTGTAAATATTAAATATACAGTCAAACCAAAATTTATTCAGACACCTTCAACATTTCTCACATTATCACAGTTTATTTGCTATAGTTTAGAAAATGGTAGCCGAAGTGTTTTAAAACATACGAGCACAGTTTAGTTGAATGATAAAGTTTACCCTCTTTAATGTTGTTATGCTGTGTTTTGTGTTCATCTGATTCTCCCATTTGCTCTTTTTACATTGACTATCACTCTATATAGACTAGTACTATCACATACAGCAATAATTTCTCAAATATTTATTACAATATATACTTATAAATTTAACATTCACTTCAATGGTATGAGATGACTGGATGCTTTCAATTGATTTCCTATTGAAATAGTCGTCAAACTATTTAAAGTACAGTGAATTAAGCTACAAACTCGATCATAATCCACAATGTTTCCATCTAACCTGTATTTTAAGATGTAGCTTGTCAAATTAGTAGAGTTTTTTTTTTATATAGTTAGCACAGCAGTAAACCGGATACCTGAATATGTTTGTAGATGTGTGAATTGTAGTTGTGTTGAAAGGTTATCCTTGGAAAGGAAACTTTTATATTTTATTTGTAAACAACATACTTTTTTCTCCTTCAGTTATTGTCATAAACTTAGTGAGCTTAGCCAATAGTAGTACTGACAGTGTCGTGTAAACATGGCTGAAGATGTGAAAAGCGAAGGAACAGACAAACCGATTCAATTGAGTGAGTCATTTACGCTGGAACCGTTCCGATTGATTCAAAATCGTGACTTTGATCATTCAGTTCAAGCAGTTCACTAGCAAAACCCAGATCAAAAGAGCATTTCATTTTCTAATTTTGACATTGCTTGTAATGGTTTTAAAAAGCACGTCTAGTGATGGGTGAAATGGAGCTTTTCGAAACTCTGAATCAGTTAAACCATTGCGTTTCGAAGCGCTCCAAGTGGATCGCGAATCATTTGATTTAGATCAGAACTTTGCATATAGCAAATAATTTAATTCAGATCGGGACTTCGGGGCACATATTGCGAATCATTTGATTTAGATCGAAACTTTGAATCAGGTTCGCGAATCATTGTGCAAACTGAATGATTTGCGTTCCTGCTCCCAAGGCCCTGTCCCAAATGGAACACTTCATGTGCACTTTTGGACTTACAATGGCCGCCGAGTGCGCGTGTCTGTTAAGTCCAAAAGACCGTAAAGTGTGGCATTCGTTATTTTTACATTTAGAAGGGTGCTCATGAATGCCCCCTCTATCGAGACTGCAGTGGGGCAAGCTTCGCAACAGACTTTGACCCGATAGTCAAAGCGGCATTAAAGTGCTGACTCCGTGGAAGACCGTGAGGTGCCATTTGGGACAGGGCCCAAGTATTGATCTGGTGTGCGTTTCCCAAAAGCATCGTTAGCTAACTATGGTAGTTAGTCCTATTGAACTCTATTGGTAACGACGGAACTTGTGACCATACTCAGGGCCGTTGCTAGTGGGGTGAAAGGTGGTGACGATTATAGGGGCCCCCCGGCGATCTCAACCAACTGGCTGAGGCCAGCCTAAAAAGACACTCAGGACAGCTGATGGCCACTGCTACGCATCGTCACGAAAGCTTATCATTTGCATGTGTTTTTAAGCCTTGCCAATTTAAACATTCAAAGGAGTTTAAAGCATTCAAACACCAGACGCAGAAAAACTCATCTGAGTACTCGCGTGCCGTGTTCGGTGCGCACGCAGAAAGCCGCGTCTCACGGACAGCAACACCTAACTGAGCTCTCCTTCGCGTCCTCCTGCACCTGAATGAACAAATACAAATCGCAGTTTAAAAATGCAAACAGAAAAAGATGTGAAAGAGCCCAAGCGTGTTCTGTGCGCACAGGGCACACGCAGGGAGACGAGTCAAGGGAGACGCTTGAACACTGAAATTTACATACAAAATTATGTCAAAATACCCGTCTTGGAGAGTATCCTGTCGGTTATGTCTTATGTGAAAGTAAACAGTGGAGAAAGAAATCGCATGTGTATCATTATAATGGATGCATTGCCTCTTAATGTGACCGCGCCTAATTTACTATCTGCTGTCGGTGTCCTTAATGTTAATCCAAGAAAATTAAAGAAAAAAAAAAATCGCTCACTGTTCTTGACTGAATTACTTTGTAGTTTTAACAAGAAGTAATCCACAGTCAAACCAAAAATTATTCGGACACCAGATATAATTTTTTTTATATTTTTTAGTGGGTGCAGGACACTATAGTTCATTTATGTGAGTATAGCAAAATAAAGTAAACTGTGACATATTATACCCAAAAATTCTTCATACAGTTGACTACCCGTAAAATTGATTTAAAAAAATTTGGGACCAAAAATTATTCAGACACTTTGATCTGACCATATTTTGCTTAAGTGTTTTTTCTTTAGTTGCTAATGCGAACTTTTTACATCACAGACTGAACAAAATTAAGTAGGGATGCACCGATATGAAAATTTTGGCCGATAACGATAACCGATAATCCTTTATTTTTGAAAGCCGATAACCGATATGTTGGCCGATAAATCTATATCCAATTTTTTATATACTTTTTGAGAGCCTGATTACAAAAAAGGTCTCCTAAACTATAGCAAATAAACTGTGATAATGTGAGAAATGTTGAAGGTGTCTGAATACATTTTGGTTTGACTGTATATTTAATTTTTACAGTGAAGGCTATGAAGTGCTATTTGATTATTTGGTTTCTGTACCTGGACACCTACAAACTTGAAAAAAACTTAAAGGTGACCTATTATGCCCCTTTCTACAATATGTAATGTAAGTCTCAGGTGTCCCCAGAATGTGTCTGTGAAGTTTCAGTTCAAAATACTCCACGGATCAATTATTATATCGTTTTAAAAAATGCCTATTTTGAGAGGAAGCAGAAACATGCCATTTTCGTGCATGTATCTTTAAATGCAAATGAGCTGCTACTCCCTGCCCCCTTTTCCAGAATAGGGCTGTGCATTTACAGCTCGCACGTCAGATACGCTGATAAAAAAACATCTGTTTGGTTTTGATTATCATGTCTATCATGCTAATATCATGCGTTTTAAAGCCATATTAGTTTAAACGTCTGATATAGTGTTTTCTAAATGCACATATCCGAAGCACGCGCACAGAAAGTGGCTGTCACACGGCATGTGAGTAATAAACTAAGTTATCTTCATGTCTTATTGCGCTTAAACTGTCAAATACACAAAAGTTTATGTTAAAAACACATGAGTTACAAAAACAGTCTGTTATGTCTGTGAAGGTAAACAGCTGAGAAAGAAATTGCATGTTTATATTAGATCTGTGTGGCAGCAGTGTAATATACAGTAAATAAATACATTCACTGCTCTCTTGTCTCCTGAGGTTGGGACTCTAAATAGTGTTCTGTGCTTATCTGTGCAGCTAAGGCTAGAACAGTTAGCATGCTTTGCTCAAAGTTTTGCCATGGCGCTAGAACTGGTACACCGTTGTCGCTTATGAAAACAAGAATGGCGGTGCCGTGAGTGGAAACGTGCAGATAAAGGGGCGGTGATATTATAATAAGATCCATTTGCCACGTCACAAAGGGAGCTAAATCTGATATACTCGTTTTTTCATGTTTCCTGGGTTGGTAGATACACAGGGGACCCGATTATTGCGAACCATATTCTATTCCTATTTTATCATCTATAGCACAACTATACATACAATTTTTTTTTTTTTTTTTTTTAATTCAAATTTTGTCTGTATATTTACATACTGTATGTGTGTATTTTTATTGTCTGTGTGTTGTTGTTGTCTCTGTGTA